CACACACCTATACACACTGCCCACTGTGACTGCACACCCACCCCACACACACCTGTACACACTGCCTGGAGTGGCTACACACCCACCCCACACACACCTGTACACACTGCCCACTGTGACTGCACACCCACCCCACACACACCTGTACACACTGCCCACTGTGACTGCACACCCACCCCACATACACCTGTACACACTGCCCACTGTGACCACACACTCCACACACACCTGTACACACTGCCCAGAGTGGCTGCACACCCACCCCCACACATACCTGTACACACTGCCCACTGTGACTGCACACTCACCCATACACACCTGTACACACTGCCCGGCATGACTGCACACTCATCCCACACACACCTGTACACGCTGCCCGGCGTGACTGCACCCACCACACCTGTACACACACACCTGTACACACGCCTATACACACTTTCCTTCTTGGTCTCCTTCCCAGGAGGTGCTACACCCAGTGCCTGGACCTTTCAGTTAGGTGCGTGGCTGGCGCACACTAGGGGCCGCTGGTCCCAGGGACTAAAGGGAAAACCTGCATTTGAAAACACGGAAGCATCACATACCACAAACACCACCCAGAACCACCCAGAGTCTGTTCAAATCTTCCTTCTAACATTTTATGCTTCCTTGACTTACAGCAAAAAAGATTATTTACTTCTGAAGTCCCAATTTCTCACCTAAAAGTAAAGAATATTACACCTGAGGGTCTGTGCTGATGACTACAATACATGATAAGGTTTGTAGGGACAGCAGCATGTGACACTCCTGGTCTCTGCAGAAAGGGCAGCCACTCCGTGATCACCACTCCGTCCCGCATCCTCCACCACAGCCACAGACGCCAGCCAGGACCTTCACACATTTCCATGAATCTTGCTGTGACATCCTTGTATAATTATATTATCAATCACTGGTGTCTCTTCCAGGACTTGCCCAAGATGGGCCTTAAAAACTCATTAGTTTTAAAACTTTCTTTGATTAGTTACGAAAATAATTAAGTTAGAAACAGTCTCTTTAAGTTAGTGGAAGTCAGTGTTTCATTAATTTTTATTACAAATTAATCTATGTTTTTTAATTATTAGATTTTTTTTTGCTATGGTATGAATTTTAATTAAAATTCTTTGAAATCTAGAAGGAAATATGTTTCCCTTACTTTAGGCAAGTCCTTTTAAGTAACAAACTGGCAGACTAAAATACTGAAAATTGAGCTCTTTTCTGTACATATGTGGTAACATATATACCCATATTCTCACACACAGACACACATTGTCAAACACAGAAGAAATAGGTAAATTTGTGAAAAGGCAAACAGAACTTCAATGTGCAGGAGAGAAGTCAGCAGAGCTGTGGGGTGAGAAGGTGAGAACAGCAGGTTACGTAAGAGCTGCCCAGAGGAGGGACAGGCAGCGTCTCTGAAAGGGAAGCCATGGGCACTCAACTTAATATCTGCAGAAACGCTCTGGTCTCCTGAGAGACGGGGCATTCTATCACCATAACGTTTTGTGGTTTCTGTCTTTCTAACTGCGAGATTGATACTCCTTGGTAAGATTCCATACCCAGCACAGAAGGGACACAATTGCAAGCCTGAAACAGCACTTCCCCCTTTCTATCCAACACAAAAGTCTCTTCTAGTGTGTGACCTTCCATGCAAAACAGCTCATTTTTAAAGCTTAGTTCCAGTCCCTTAAAGATGCTTGGTCACAAGCCATGGGAAAGGATGTCATGTGACCAAGGCACAGCCCTCCCTAAGTGACAATCCCCTCAGTGCGGAGAACACAGTGCCATTTGGTCGCCCAGAACTCTGGGTCAGGCCAGACCGAGAGGACACTCTGGTCTCATTTCAGCTTCTCACATTTTCCCTTGTGAAAATATTTCAAAGTTACAATTAATGAAACATAGCATTTAAACTCCTAAGAATGTCTGAAAAGCATGTATAAAGATTGGTTTCAATTGTTTTTAAAAGGGAAAAAAAAGCTGACGAAAGGTGTCCCTTCACCCTCAATGGTTATTAAACGTGTGTTCAGGACGGCTGAAGGGCAGGACGCGTTATCACAAGTCGAGTTCACAATACACAGCCTGCAGGTGGCTTGAAACAGGAAGTCACTCACCATGTCAGGAGACACAGGTGGCAAATCCTCGGGGGCCAGGGTGGTGACATTAGACATGGAGATGTTACCTATAAGCAAAAGACAATTTGTGAATTTGTGACTATCAACATACAACAGAGGCAACCTAAGTGCACAATCAGGCACTGAAACATGCAATTCTAGGCATCAAAAGGGTTTGCAATAGCAACCTAAGGGCACAATGAGTTTTTAATTTTTATAACCATGTTTACCTCTTATCTAGATCAAAAAAAAAATCAAAGATTTGGATACATCTCTTGGGCTCGAATCTGATAAGAAACAATGGCAAATATTTAAAAGGATGGTACTGAAACTTGTTTCAGGTTTCAAATAGGACAAAAAAATAAAACTTCCCTGTTCCTACAGGACACTCGGTGTATTCTGTGTAGTGAAGGAAATGCCGGCTAACGATTCAGTTGACTCAACTTAAAAATCTCACAAATGAGAACTTTTCTATATTGATTAAGAATGAGCTAATTCATAACTTTTGGAAATTTAGAGTGTGTATGAGAAAGTATATCTTGTAAAATATATTAAAAATTACTAAATAAGTAATATAAATATAATAGGGATGGATAATCTAATATTTAAAATGATTTTCATCCAACTTAGTATCAGTATAGATTAAAAATGTCAGGTAAAAAAGACCTTAATTTATTTATGAAACCAACCTTCCTCTTGGAAATGTTTCATTAGTTTTATTTTACATTTTTAATAAAAACTAGAACGTAACCCAGTAGCGTCCCTGTGATTGGACCACCCACCAGACTGTGACAAGCCGGGCAGCACAGGGAGGAGTCGCCATGGGAACAAGGCCGCTGCTGACGGGCACCCGGAGGGCGTGTCCTGCCCAGTCTGAAAACTCGGTCACCAGAAGGAGGTGGTCAGTGTAGGGGGTGACCAGCTACAGAAGTTCTAATGTATTTAAAAATTAGTCTAATAATTAAAACATGTTTCTTTATTAGGTAAGACCTTTTTGTACTGTGCAAAACTTTATGTATTAGAAGATGAGCAGTTACCTGGAACATCCCCAACTTACAGCACTATTGTCAAATAACCCCAGGTTTGACTCTGAGGTTCAGGTAATGCACTTAGGGTCAGAACTGCTAATGAGCGTTTGGTTCCCACTCCCTTCCCTCCAAGACGGAGCCGTCTTTTCAGATTGCCTTGTTTCAGGTCCTTCCTACGTAAACCTTTAAGGAAAAACACTAATTTCTTTGATGGCTGAAATGGGACCCAGGAGGGAAGAACAGAGGGAGCTCACCTTGTCCACTGCTTTCCCTAACTAACAGGAGCTCAAGAATATCTGCTGACTGTCAATAAGTAAGTTAGGAAGGAGGGTATTTCAAAACTTAAAAATGAATGACAGCAGATAAAGGCAAAACGAAGAAATCAGGGCAACAAACTAAAGGAAAGAGAATATTTAGCTTAAGCCCTAGTTTTGCTCCATTTTGAAATCCTCTGCTCTTTGAAAGGCCTGGACTGTAAAATCATGGACCCAACACCAGCTGCTGCAAAGGCTTCCTGTCTCAGCCGAGGGACAGGCACACATGCCCACTGTCCATCTTCTTATTCCCTGTCTCATCACAGATCCAGAGAGAACACCTGGCCCAAACAACAAAGCCAAATGACAGTCCATTCTTCAAAGGAAAATGTTAGGAAATCACCATTAACAACACCTAAGTGTTGAAACAAAACTCCTGTTTTGTTTCAAAAAGCTTAAAGCACATCTTCTCAGATTACTACATTTGTTTCTTAAAAAACATCCTAGAACACATAGTAGGTGTACTTTTATGCCCACTGTATATTAGGTGGGACTTGGAAGCAAGTTGTGCCAGGCCAGGTGCTGGGATCACAGAGTCAGCAGAAGCCGAGCCCAACCACCCAAGTCAGGATAATCTGTGTGGCTGAAGACTCAGGGTGTGACGCTGCCCCCAGTGCTGGGTGATGTGGGTCCTCACTGACCCCAGCTCCTACAAAAGCAGCACCGTGACATCCCAGGCTCTGTCCTCAGGGTCTGGGACGCTGTCCCCAGTGCTGGGCGATGTGGCTCCTCACTGACCCCAAGTTCTACAGAAGCAGCACCGTGACATCCCAGGCTCTGTCCTCAGGGTCTGGGACGCTGTCCCCAGTGCTGGGCGATGTGGCTCCTCACTGACCCCAGCTCCTACAGAAGTAGCACCGTGACATCCCAGGCTCTGTCCTCAGGGTCTGGGACGCTGCCGCCAAGGCTGGGCGATGTGGCTCCTCACTGACCCCAGGTTCTACAGAAGCAGCACCGCAACATCCCAGGCTCTGTCCCCATCGGGCGAGGTTCTCTGAGGCGCTTTTGTGAGCTCTCTGATACAGGAGAGTGAAGGTCTTTTTGCATCACCCTTTTCCACATAGAAACAAGGGGCAGGGACTAAGGGGACAGATATTCGAGGCTCCTTCTTTGTGAAATGGATGATAAAGGCGGTAGTGTATTTTTATAACCTGAACTGTTAGTTACACTCTCAAATTTTGGACACACACCAATTTTGCCCATTTCAATACCTTTCAGCTTTTTAGTTGTCTTTTTTTCTCTGACAAGCTATTAATGCACATTGGCTTTCAAAATCTCCAAAGACCAGTACCAAGAGGATAGTAAAAAGCACATGATACATTCTCTTCTTATTTGAATAACCAGCTGCTTCAGAAGAAAGACTTCAAAATAAATGTATTAAAAAAGCACTTTCATAAATACATATTGGCAAGGTCTGATAGAATCCATAAGTAAGATTAAAAGTAAATTCCTGTAGGCTCACAGAAGAGAAAATGATCAATGCTAATTGGAAGCTTGGTCTACAACAGCCCCTGGTCACCACTTGGATCCAGGGGCAAATATTTTGGCAACCAACCTCAAAACAATCCATTTCTACAGAATCTGTAATAAGCTTGATTAGAATTCTGGGAAGGTCAAACAGAAGAGCCACAGCACACTACACTCTGTCTTCACCATTTACTCAGCGTCAGCTAACGAAGCAGAGAAGCCTGGAGCCCTAGGAGTGGACTAACTCGGGTGCAGCCAGTGGTCACCGGGACGGCCTCTGCCCTGGTCTGGGTTCAGGAAGTCTGCCCGGGTCGAGCCTTGTCGACCACTTGGATTTTCACTTGTTCTTTCTTCCTGTGTTTCACATCTTAGCTAGTTCTCTGGAAAACGGAATGAATATTGTCAGTGAAAAACACGTAAAGATGTGTCTGTGACTTCTCCATCTTCAGCTGGAAGATAATCTTCTCTTTCTTTATGCTGAACAAGAGCTCTAGAGAAAGGATGAGAGGGCAACTAGGGCTGGGGCCACGGGAGCTATGGGCGGAAAGAGGAGGTGCCCGTGTCTCGGTGTTGACCCAGCGCTCGCTCCTGCAGGGACTGTCGCTGCACCCCGCAAGTTGTCCCTCTTTATCCTCAAATGACCTGCACCAGGCACTGCCCCAGGGCTCCTGATGGTGGCATGAACTTGAGTTCTGCTGGGAATACACAGGCACTCACCTGAGCCCCGGGGCCAGTGTGAGCCGTGAGTGGGCGCTGGGGGCAGACCTGCCTGCTGTGACATGCCACATGCACCACGTAGAGCCGGGAGTCCAGGAGAACGGTCTGAGCTCCGGCTCCAGCACCTTCTGAGCACGGCAACCTCCACCCTCTCCTCACTTCACCTCAGGGAAGTTACTCTACTCATCTTGACCACAGGCCCCTCATCTGTGAAACTGGACACAAAACCACTCACCACACAAAGCATGTGTATACTTTTCAATCTCCTCTCACAAGTTCACCTCCTGCAGCCACGTGAGGTTACTCTGCAGACTGCACAAGGCCCCAGGAGAGTGGCCAGCACAGTGTCCAGCCCCAGAAATCCCTAAGCAAATGGCAGCTCAGATCATCACAAGCTCCGTGACCTGGATGAGCATCAGCTGCCCCTCCAGACTTCTGTGATAGTTAAACATACATGTATTGAGTTATTAAAATACAATTTATTAAAATCCCTTTATAAAATACCTTGTATTCAGATGGCACCCAAGAAATATTAGCCTAATTTGAACCTGTATTATCAACATAGCTTCTTAAGGTTATGGTAATATGGAACTGATTAACCTGATGTAAACAATAAAAGCTTTGTGACCATTCTCCATGATAATGAAATTTCAAAGTCTTGTTCCATTCTATTTAAGTGCCATCTGAGAAAACTGAGAAAGAAGAAAAACACTGCATATACTTCTTGCTCCTTGGTCATGTCAGATTTATTTAAGGTACTGGATAACTCAAGCACACCAATGTGTCATGATAAGGTCAAATATTTATGCTTTGAATTCATCAGTTAATAAAACACCAAAAATGGCTTTTGTGGGGTTAACTTTTGGGAGAAGATTTGCCAGAATTATCTGCTTCAGCCTTAAGGCTTAGAACAAACTCTGTATTACTGCGTTTTCTGGTTACTATCCTTTAAATTTTCCTAAGTATTTTCACCAAGTCTATTGCTAGATCTTTTCACTGTAACACAGTACATTACGCTTTTCATCCCCAGGCCATCTTCCCAAGGTCACCTGCAGGGCTGCCCTGAGGCTGACGGCTGAGCTACTACAGTGACACTAAGACATGTGTATTTAGCCTCTACTTGTGTAGAAACTTCTCTTCCATACACACCATCATTACATTTTGGATGTGTTACAGACATTATTCTGAGGAAACATTCCCAATCTATGTTTTATGCAAACGCAAAGTGAGAGAATTCCCGGGACTGGTAATGATCCAAATTCATTGCTTCCCCTTTTCTGTTTCTTGAAAGCATTACGCAGAAACTACTACAGTATAGGTTAGGGCGGTCAGAGGAAACTAAAACCATGGGTTTCTCTCAGGAGACACAGCAGAACAGCAGCTGTGCTGGCAAAGGGTTCTTGCAGGAGCCAGCCTGAAGTTCATCAGGAAGATGAACTAAGATGATCTTTTATTTCCTAAATTTTCTTTGAACGGGCATTCTAATTATAAAACTTATAATGACTATTGGGTGGGACCACGGGAGACACAATCCAGCAGTTA